GCGCGAATATCGAACGAGCTATAGGTACAATTTACGTCTCAAAAAATTGTGCTTGAAATAGTGCCCAATATCAGTCCAATTTTTGCTTGACTTTTGACTTAGAAAACCATTAAATTTTAATGTAAACTTCTACATACTAACGTAAAATGGGGTACAGTCGTCGACACATGTTTTTGGACAAAAATATTAAACTTTCTAATTGTAGACTTCATGTTACATATTGGAAATAATTATGGTATTTTCTCACATGTCAAAAACTTTCGATTAAATGCATTATTATATATTTTATAAATAATAATAAATGAATGAAACTTTAAGCGTAAATGAAGTCTATTACTTCATTGCATTGTGTGTTTGTCTGAATAAAAACAGTCATTTGCAGCCAATAAAATTAATATCTTGAAAAATTGTAAAAAGGAAATTATACAGTTTCTTTTTGTATATATGTTGCAGGCAATATATATGTTGTATATATGTTGCAGGCAAAATAAGTTTGCGTCGCGGGCGCCGCACGTCGCTTTGTGACACAAAATGGACCCTTATCACCTTCAAAATACAGATCAGTCTTGTCTAATAATCGTAAGATGTTAGGGCAGCGCCATCTAGTATTTAAACATAAACATATTCATTTGCGTCGCGGGCGCCGCGCGTCGTAAGCCCCATACCTATTGACCGTACGTGCATCCATTACTGCCACACTATATTGAACTTTATCACATGAGGAATACAGGTCAATTCCGTAAACGTTGTGGTACCGTCCTTGATCCGGAAAATGATTATTTTGAATAATTTTGTCAGTTGTAATGTAAGCATTAATAACAGCAACTTTATTTTTCATGCATGATTTACTTCATTTGATATCTTAATCCTTCAAGCGCCGTGATCTAGATAAAATATATAAAATCATTTTTATAAAGTATTATTAAAATAATGTGTAATTAATAATATTGCGATTCTAAAGTAAATACTCCCTTACATAGACAATTAATAATTTACACAAGACAAAAATTGTTAGAAAGAAAGTTAATAATATTGTATTCGACTGTACTCAATGTAATGTATGTAGAAGTTTACAATCAAATTTAATGGTTTTCTAGGTCAAAAGCCAAGCAAAAATTGGACTGATATTGGGCACTATTTCAAGCACAATTTTTTGAGACGTAAATTGTACCTATAGCTCGTTCGATATTCGCGCACTGAGGTGAGTATGCTGGGCGTAGAACCTACGCCCAGCATACTCACTGAACGAAGCCTATAACTCCGAAGTTATTCGAGCACTGTTTTTTCTTTTTGGGCACCGTTTGGCACTATTTGGGAACTATTTTTTGAAGTATGAATTATGTTTGAAGCGTATACAGATTCTCCGGACGGAGGTGAGTATGCTGGGCGAAACCTTCGTCCAGCATACTCATCGAACTATGGCTATAACTTCGCAAGTACAAGAGCACTATTTTTTTCCTTTGGGCACTATTTAGCACTATTTCAGAACAGTCTTTTGACATTCATGAAATATCAGGATTCCATGGTGAGTATGCTGGACGAAGGGACACTTTTGTTTGCAGACCGTGGTGGTTATAGCAAACTGCTTTTTTATTAGGACGATCTTTTATGAAACAGTGCACACTGCCCTAATTCTATGTAGTTGATGATGACTTCAATGTCCTTATCGAGTTGTTCAGTGCCTTTAGCCAAACGCCACTTTAGCGTTTGCCTACCGAGAAAGTAAAAAACTAAATATATGTGAATAATACTGACAAGTGTCAATATTTACGTCAATTCCATATAATTTGGTTTTCTATTCAACAAGTAGACAAGCGCTAAATTGAATTTGGCAACAGCTGCAGAACACGAACAGCTTTCACTTCGCTCATGTTTTAAAAGATGAATAATACTGACAAAGGTTTAAAATTAAGAAGCACATCTTAAGTATTAAATTCCAAGTTACATTGCCTATTTAAGAGCAAGTACAAATATGTACTTGTTTATCAAGAATTTAATCTCCAATGACTATATTGTGTACACGACTACATAAAGAGCTATATAAAACCAGTTTCTCATAGTCTTGGTTTGTATAATCTTTCCGCAGATAAGCATTTCAGCTTATACTGGTTTTATATGGTTCGATGGCTATATGCCTATGGCAGATTGTTTAGACCCAGTTAGTCACCGCGCTCTGGTTGTTGAAAAATATTAGCGCCTACGCACTTTATTACTTGAATACAAAGGATACTTATATTTAGGTAATAATTGAAACTTCCTTGAACATTGTTGTGCTGTTAAAGAGCTTTAGTCAGGTACTGATGGAAATACGCTGGTCTAAGATACGATCCAAGACACATTAACAGGAAAACGCTAGCCAATATTTTTTTAAACTTATGCTTTGCGTGTTAGGACACGGCTTATATGAATGTGCTTTGTTTTTGTGTCTTCTGGGGCTTTTTGGCATTATGGGACATTACCGATTTTTTTAAGGGGGGAAAATGATCGAATGTCTTCTCCCTGGGTGAGGCGGGAGGGAGTGTCTGCCTCTTACTGACTAAAAACCACCTCGTTCCTACTCCTGCCCTTCGAGCCGGAGCCCCGGCAACCCGTTAGGTCCTTAACGCGTTAGTATTATGATTTAACTAGATCTGGCATAGTGCCAGTGCAACTGCCGACCCTTCAAGGATTTAAATTATCGTATTGGCCTCAAGACGGCCATAGCTGAGCACAAGCCTCCCTTGATACCATATAGACCGGTTAGAAATAGCCTACATCCAGCGACTCCCTGCGACCTTAATAAGGTATTATTATATGTAGGCCTTTAATTTGAAGCTATTGCCTAACTATAGTTATAGGGACTACCATAGTTGCCTGTCCGACAACCTTCATAGAAGACTGAATTACTTTAAAGGACCAAGCAGTGAATCATAAAAATGGATAACAAAAGCAATATTTCACAATTGTTTTAATTTAGACACATTGTTTCAGTTTTCAATATGCTGGGTTTAATTTTGTGTCAGTCCAACTCCTGATGGTCATTCCTCGGAGGGTTGATAAATCGACGGTTGATGAAACAATACTGCCAAATAATTGCCACGCGAATACCGCGTCATGACTAATGATTGTTTTTAATCAATGTTTCCAATTGTTTGCAACTGCGGATATACATATTATTTCCATCAAAATATGTGAACCACATGTTTTTGTTAAAGAAAATATTTAGTAAAATCTCATTTATTATTTACATTTACATAAACACAAGAAAAAGAATAGTCACGCCTTTTATCCCCGAAGGCAGATTTGCAAATTACGGCACGAATGCCACTGTACAATGTACGCACCCACTTTTCACCAGTTATGTTATAAGTTTCATGTAATGGCACCCCTATTAGTCCAGCCTATTGCCGGACGTAATTCCAAACTCTGTGCTACTACCGCGAAAATTTCGAAATACCGATGAATAAACAATCAGAATACTTTTCCGGATACAGATTCGAACCCGAGACACCTTCCAGCCAAACTGTCTCAATGGCGACCACTCAACCAACGGAGACGCCGATGTCATTAACATAACATAACACATAATAATTAATCAATAAGATCAAAAAACAAGGAAATTAAACAAATCATTCGCGTTCAAAATTACACGTCGCTTGGGACCAGGGATTCCCTGTGGCCTGCCCGACATCTTTGAATACTGGCAACACTACGATAATTCGTATCAACGTGCGACCTTTTGACTCAGTAAACAACTTATCTTCTTGAGGTTGCAACCGGAATGTTGAGCAATATTTTCATATATAAATGATTGATAAAAGTAATTAATATTCTATTCATTATACATTATAACCACTAGTTTCAATTCGATGTCCCTTGATGGTCAACCCCTCAATATTCATTATTCGCCCGATGGTCGAAAACTATTCTAAATATATAAGTCAATGATGATTTCTGCTAATTTACCTGCTGATAAAGCAAAGCTTTGTCAAAGTTTTGCGTCGTCACATTCCGCGCGCGCCTCACAGGACCATCATACAACCACAGATTGCGCTCACTGGGGCTGATGTCCCATACTGTGCCGCGGAAGACTTAAAACGGGTTGCCGGTAGGGACTCCGGCTCAAAGCAGGAATAGGAACGTCTGAGACTCTTTCTTGCATTGCATATATTGTACAGTATACATTGGAAGATTTCCAGTCAAATAAAGGTAGATCTAATCATCATTAAGAGACCTTGATTTCAATACCATGAAAAGATTTATGTTTAGCAGTGGACCTCGACAAAATGATTATTTCAATACGTACTGGTATTTATATTTTTTGTTCAGAGTTAATCTTTGGGCAAAAAATTTACACTTGCGAAGTATACCGTCTAAAGATGAAGACCATAAAATAAATAGGTGTTTTATAGGCTGGTTAAACACGCTTTTGGGACCCTGAGGTGTAACCAGTTTGTCGGCTGCTGCCTTGCATTCGACAAGTACGGACATTATGTATGTTACGTGAAATCTTTTCTACTGGCAGTGCCAGTGCCACCACGATGACATCATCAAGCTTGGTTAATCATAGACTAAGTTACTGTATTGTGCCTACCTGCATCAACTCGTTATGTGTTCGATGCAAACGGGCAAAAATATTACTAGACTAGTATTTTGTCGTTTGTAAATTATTTGAACAATTTAAATAATCTAAGACGAAGAAAGTATAAGAAGAGAGTCGTAAAAATATATTGTTTATAGATCGTTTTAAAATTGATAGCGAACCCAAAACAATTTAGAATAAATAATTTAAAACAAACAATTATAAGGTAAAAACATAAACCTATGTGGAAGATATATTTATCTTTTCTGAGGAGAAGGAGGTTAAAACAACAAATAGATACGATTCGGCGAAATCTGAAGCGGTCATGTTAATCTTTGACCTTATAGTTATAGCATCTTGTAAGCGCGTTGGAGTTCGAGGCTCATTCGCCACATACGCTTCGTGGTGATCAGTCATTTAGCATAAATATTTATTAATCATGAAGGTTTTAGTCGTTCTAGCCGGGCTCCTGGCTATCTCGGCTGCTGTCGGGCCCGTCGTCCCTGCCAAAGTCGTCTGCTACTACAACAGCAAGAGCTATGTCAGGGAATGTAAGTATATTTCCTATTTTTCCGCTGTGCGACTACCTTTCTACCCGCGAATTTTATTTCAGCCGGTTTCGCAAATCGTTGCCGATGTTTTATCGTAGATTTGATATAATTATTTTTTCAGCTTCCGTTTGTTTTATTTTATGCGGAAATAATTAAGTAATAGGGAACGACCGGCATTAATATTGCGTTCATAATAATATAGACAAATAATTTACATTACGATTTTAAGTAGCATTTCTTTGAACCGAATTTTTAACGAGATGAAACCTTGACGGTAGAATATATTTTGTATAAGATCTGTTGGTATATTTTGTTCTGAATATTCTAGAAATTCTTAAATATGAAAAATGTCTTATTTGTTTATGTGAAAGTAGTTTTGACCGGTAGCCGGTAACAACCACAGTCCGTTATATAAATGTCGAATGTCCATACAAGTGAAAAAAAAATCGTTTACTAAGAATATTTCGCGATGATATCATACGATTAACATATTAACCCCAATTATCCGTTTTATATACATCTCCAGTACAGCGGACGCACTTATCTTATTTAAAGGCCGATTTACATTGTCAAGCGCTGTGGGTAAATAATGTAAAGCGTAGGTAGAAGGATATATTGATTAAAGAAGCTGCGCCCGCGATTTTAATACTTATTTTCTTTGTTATAGTTTTTATTTCAAAGGTACTTTAAAGTTACCTGTACTAAATGTCCCTCAGGTATATAAGTTCGTAGTCCTACCCGCGTTTAACAATAAAAAATATTTGTACTCTGAGGTAGCAAAGTTCTAATTCGTTCTTTGACATTATAAGGTTTAGGTAGATATATAAATACGGATATTTATTACACACAAATAACGTCAAATATAATTTGTCATGTTTGAAGGTTTTTCCTGTCATTTGTAGGTTTCACCTTTGTTGCTTTGTTCGCGATCTGACACGATTTGGCCCACCTAGGTTCATTTTTTTCCACTTTATAACAACGTATCGGGTCAGACAAAGGCTTATTTAGCTTTTTCCGGGTTCCGGGCACATTGCAACAATACTAGATTCTAATGCTTTTTTCAATATACCTACTTGTATTTTTTAATATCGACAATTTCACCTGAGTAGAAGATATATACAGCGTCAACACGCACCATAAAGAACGGTTAAGTGCGCCACCATCAACAATAAAAATGTTAAGCAATACTGTAATGCCAATAAAAATATATAAGTATTAATTGCCAGATAGATTAACATCCTAAAAATCATACATAATTCAAGGATGTTACTACCTACTAGTCAAAAATAAAAAATATATATTTTCTGCAAATAAAATATATGACGGGTTTAGTATACCTACTTGGCGTTTATAATTTTTGGATTGATTTTTACTACATATAATTTGACTTATACCAGACAAATATTTGTTTTACTTCGTATAAAATAATTTTGTACCTTCTACCTACAATTTTATCGCTAATATTACTTAATAACAATGGATGTATTTATCTAAAAATCATGCCATTTCTGTAAAAGTCTTAAACTGTCAAACACCGCGAGGACACCGGTGACCGCAACCTATTGTTCTTTAATTGTGTATAATGACGGTACTCAAAGAATTAAGCACAATAATAATTCTATCACATTTAGTTGCAAAAAGCGGTTTGACTTTGACTAATTTACTTCACCCCGATTTCACCCAAAAGAATTTAGATTTTCCGTTTCCAAAATGTTAATTCACTTTATGGGCAGTTCTCATAATTATGACGTCATCCTCATGGTGATAAACAATTTGATGCAACTCACAACTCACAAAGGTCCTAGCCTTGCCCATTTGACTGGCTTTGAGGAAAAAATTTAAATACAACCTTAAGGTTTTAGTAAAAGAGTTAGTTTTTCTTTATTCCTTATCACTGCCAAACAAAAGGCTATCGAATAAGATTATGAAATATGTATAGCTTCTACTACTATCAAGTAAATTACAGTAGGTACAATATTTATTACATTGCGAGAGAAATCTTGTTATTGTTACGTGATAGCATAAACAAGTTCCTTGTAACCTTTCACCTGATATGATAAGGGCTGATAACTCTGAGAATTACAATATAATAAAATATACTCTTATAATTGTAGCATAACAAAACATCACGCATTTTATCCCCGAAGGGATAGGCAGAGGTGCACACAGAAGTAACACCCACTTTTCACTATTTATGTTATGACTCCCATGTAATAGCGGGTGGGCCTATTGCCATATACCGGGCACAATTCCAGACTCCGTGCTACCACTGAGAATTTAAAAACCCAGTAATAGTTTGCCCGACTCAGGTATCGAACCCGAGACCCCTTGCCCGGCAGTCGCACTTGCGACCACTCGGCCAATGAGGCAGATAATATAAAAAATACTATTATAATAATTATGTTGGAATTGCAAAAGTACTTAGTGCGAGGCAGTCTCGACAAATATACCAATATACCTACATATTTTATTCTTACTGTCAATTTCCAAGTTTTATTCGTCATGCATATAATATAATAGTAATTTTGTCGGTTTTTTGGTAGCCTAATAGGTCGGCACGGAGTCTAGAATCGTACCTAGGTGGGATGTGTAAAAGTAGGTTACCTCCTATTACATAGGAATCATAATATAACTATTGAAAAGAGGCTGTTACTCTGAGTACATATATATGCATATAGTATAATGTGTAAACATATCGCTGAATAAGCACCTTCAGGGATATGTATATGTCGTAGGATAATTTGATACTTCGAATCTTTGCGGAAATCCTAGGGGTTTTGCGAAAACGCGGATAATTAGACATAGGCGAAAAATTATCAAATCTTACTCGACAAAGTCAGGATTTTTGCGAAAATACTCGTTACTATAGTAAGATTGCGAAACGAAACGCTGGCTGTTATGAAATAAGAACGCTGATTGGTCGGTCAGCGCGTTCAATAAGAGATCGTCTCTGATTGGTTGACGTCTTAAATGTTTTTTCGTCGTCTTAAACGACCAGTTTCATCCCATTTATGGATTACACCCTAAAATTGGATCATTTTTTTTTTACTACGACTGAGATCTCCTATTGTCTGTAGAAAACAACATACATACTAAAATGTTCAATAAAAAGTTTATAAAAATCAATTTAGTGATTTTCCTTTCTCACCTATTCTAAACCTTCATAACTCTATGATACAATACTTGAAGTTAATCATCGGCAAACTAGGAACCAATTAGAAGTCAGCCAGCAAAATTGTAGCCAATCAGTGTTGAGCACATCAAATCTTACTATAGTAACGAGTATTTTCACAAAAATCCTGACTTTGTCCAGTAAGATTTCATAATTTTTCGCCTATGTCTAATTATCCGCGTTTTCGCAAAACCCCTAGGATTTCCGCGAAGATTCGAAGTATCAAATTATCCTACGACATATATACACTAACGTCGTTAGTATATACACAGATGACATGAAATAAAATGACGTCATGTCATCTGTGTGTACACACATGCGTTATTTTATGTGTATTAATGTTAAGAAATATACAGTGTCGTAGTATATTAAAACAGTACCTACTAGATATAGGAATATAGAACTACCTACATATAATAATGTGTGTAGTTCGTTGTAAACACAAGTCAACAATTCCTTAACAGAATTTGTATTCAACGCACTGCTTATCCTTCGAAAGATGAGCGAACTATTAATATTGATGTTCAGTGTATAAATAGAAGTAAATATGTACCATAAATAGTAATAACTAAGAATCAATTTTATACGTGTCGTGTATTCTGATGTAGAATTAAAAGTCATTCACTTCTCTAATACGGCTTGTTATTTATCTGCCTATAAAAATAGTCATTTTGATTGTTGGAAAGTAGCCCTTTTTCTAAAAGGGTTAAGGTTTATCAAAGTTATTGTTGTCTCCAGCAATACAAGCTTTAAATAATCGGAATAGAGATGCTGATAACTGTAGCTTGAATATACTAAGAATAACTCCAAGATATTTATCTTCTTCTTTATAAAATAAACCGCTGCTCTGATATTTGTCAAATAAAAACTAGGGACTTACCGCTTTTCATGGTAATTAGTTGTCACCTAGGCACGCACTTAGTAAATATTTTAAAACTATTTGATTTTATAACAAGGATAAAAGTTTAGCAAATCCTGATCAACTTCGTTGGAGATTTTAATAAAATCTTATCGTAGAAAATGATATTAAGATGAGTTAGTCTCTTATTTATATTCATCATCATCTCATTCAAAGACATTCTTTTCTGGTCTTTCAGGGCCTTCGTTCCACTTATAGGCCTTAAGAGTTACACTTCATTTACTGTTAGCAAAGGGTATGAATAAAATAAATAAAAAGAAAAATTTAGAGCGTTACAACACATACAATAGGCCGAAATCTACATTGCTTACTTAAAAGTCGACCCAACTGAAATGTAAATAAACACATCTGAATAGCACATACACCCTGTAATTGGTTACATTCCGAAGCAGATTTCTATTCTTAATGCTCCCTCATATGTAAAATAAGGATTCCGAACAATAGTCCCCTAAAAAGGGTTTAGGCATTAGACGTATTAAAATTCGGGTTTGGTACCTTTACCACTAAGAATAACTATAGTTAAACTAAAAAAGGTAAATGCAAAACTGTAAGCAATCGAAATAAATAGTTGAATGGAGTGGTATATTTGCTATCAGTGGGACATTTGGCAGCGTCCTCCACCCGCATACAACATAAATTTTACTTAACTCAAACGTACGTATTGTTACTGAACTTTACTATCAGTATTTTTGTGAATAACTTCCACGTGTCGGTGTGCAAATGATGTAGGTTGAATAATGAATCAGATGTGGGAGTAGCCGTCACACAGTCCTTACCTACATCTGAATATTTTATTGTTTTTAACATGGCATTTGAAACAGACAGTTTGTTTAAAATTAGATAATACAATAATACTGGAATAGATGACACCATTCCTGGTAGGACGCTTATGTTCTTTGTTTTACTTATAATACGTATTTATTTACTCTTGCGAGTACGCAGGAATGTCGTTAGTAGGATTTCATATGCGAAAGAATCGGTAAAATCAATTCTGATGTTAAAATTTTCATGAACCCGAAGAGCAATTCGGAATACTTATTAAAAAAACGCTTTAATATGAAAATTAAAAAAAAACAATAAAACTAATTCATTTAATGTAACAAATTGGTCGGCAGTTAAATAATAATTTCCAGTATTGTGGTATTTATGCTTAATTAGCTAATGAAATTAAAAATAATAATGCACAAACACTTATGTTATGGTTATAATTAAATGTTTTACAAGGTAAATGCTGAAACTGTGGTTTTGATACGCAATAATTAGTCATCATCTCAGTAAATATTATTATGTAAAGCAATATTCTTAGAAAATATGCGTAAGCAACTGTAAATTGTTATATTGTTGAAAATAATTGTTTACATTAATGTTGGAATATTATTAAGTGGGGCAAATGCAATTGGTCTCACGTAATGAGCATGTAGGTTTTAGTTTTATATTCTGTAAATAAAGGCTAATTCAATTGGATTGGCTAAATAATGAAATGTTTATACACACAATAGATTTCGAATACGGTAATACGGTTTATTTAATTTTTTAAGTTCTTGATTTGCCGTAGCTTCATTATATTATATTAGGTCTTACTTCGAGGAATAAAGGGGTGATACTATTAGCATTTTTTCCTCTTTAACATTGAAATACAGCTTGGAGATTCTAAGAATAACTTGAACGCAGTAAGCATATAGAAGGCCGACTAATCGTGGCCTTTTCTTTGATAATTGTTTTTGTATACTAACAGCCTTGATTTCGCTAGGTATCAATCGAAACGTTAATTTAAATTCGATTACGCAAGCTTTGATTTAATAACATACTATGATATTCTTGAAGTATTAGAACCTGTACCTATTTATTTTCTAGCAGGTGTAGAACATAATGTTGTTGACCCCAAAATTATCGAGACCTTGAATTGACAAAAATATCAGTGTACTTGGAAACAAGATATATTATGTTTTTGTGATGATAACTTCTATAACCCTCCGACGTTGAAACTTTGGATAAGCGTTTGTAGGTAATGATTAAGTAATATATATTATATATGTGTGAATAATAAGGACAATCGCTAAACACGCGAGCCAGCTTGTGACCTGTGTATGATACGTGTCAACAAAAGGCCAAATGATAATGGCGACCACAAACAAAGTCGTTCTAGAAATACTGAGAATCCAATAGACAAACATTTGACTAAGTTTGTGAGATAATAAACTATAGACCACAAACTAATTCATACCTACTTACTTATTGCATGCCAGTTTCCTTATTTTTTATGCTGCTAGGTCTTGCGATTGTTACCTTGTGACGTCAACTGTTAATAATAAAAAGAGTCCAGTAGGCATTACTCGTTTGGTCAATTTATTTATTATTGTGTCCTTGTCGTCATATGGAAATGGACTCGTTTCATGAGATCATCTCTCTTTGTCAGGTTTTGCATACATACCTACCTGGTATGTATGCAAAAGGCGTAAGATATCTTATATTTTTTATATTGTCAGGTAGATTTTTTTTCAAAAGAGTTGATCCCTGCACAAATACTACTATTTTTGTATTTGTTGAACAGTAAATAATGTTTAATTAATTTAATTCATTTTTTATAAATTTCGACACTATAAAACAAACAAGTCATCAACACAAAATAGACACGCGAAGGTATCAACTTGGGCCAGATTCGCTTATCATTTATTTTCCTATTAACCCTTTGTTTATATCCCGGAAAACGTCATTAATTATTATTATCTTTTACTATCAAAACTTTCCGGTACGACTTAATGGTGGTTGTTTGTGTCTGCATTGTCTTATTTATTAGGTACATTACTTAAACAAAAGATGAAAAATCATTGTTTGCTTAGATATCAGTTCTATGTCCTCGCGCTTAGTTAAATATGAATAAGGGATTACTGTATTTGGTTTGACACGAGTCACGAGGATTGGATGCCATCAAACTCAATATTGACTTGATCTTTATGCATATGTAACAACATTTATCAAATTCATTACTGAGAAAACCCGGTAAATCGATATAGACAACAAATCATGCGTCTTTATTTGATTGGACGTACATTAACCTTTACAATAAGTATATTTCTATTGAGGTGACTACATCTCAACGATTTCCTTACATTGACAAATAAAATAATTCGTTTGCGTCTAGCATTTCTATTTGATTCATACAAGGTAAATAATATGTTAAAGGTATACTAACATCTTGCTGATATTCTAGTCCTGTTAGTTATTTATACAAGTAGAGGTAGTGACAGGAAACCGCTGTAAGAAGTGAGTAATTGCTCAAACAGAACGAATGAGATGGTAATTTAGCGCAATATATATTTGCCCTCTTGTGAGTGAAACATGAGTCAATAAGGATCATGTGACGCAGGTAATCATTCTTCCAGCATACAGGGTTGTTTCGGGTAATGGTTTGACAAGCTTTCATTCATTATGTCCGTAGGCACGTTGCTAAGAAAAATGTCTAGTTTTTTAATTATTTCAGGTACTATACTTGCGATTCTTGAACTCTGTTTAAACTGATATAAAGTGTCTACTTTATATAAATACTGAAAATACATGTCTATGTATTTTCAGTATTTATAAGTCCTAAGTATTGCTGTTTATCGATGATAACTTCAATATTATAGAATAATCTAGACTTCGTGTTGACTTTAAATTAAGTACCCTACGTAATAATTTTGTGAACTAAGAAAAAGTCCTTGAAACAAAAGCCTTCTGTTTACACATTTAGGCACATCCACACTTGGTGTTAATGTGTGGACCCTTATAGTTGGTGTGTTGATCACGTCATTTGGCGAGGTACGAGTATGTACGTGCCAGACGTTAAGTGGTTAATGTAACGGAAACAATGGAATTGAGTGTTCTCAGTTTATACAATAGATATAGACATCTAAGACCTAGCGCCCACGTGCGACATTGCGTGGTTTTATCCCCTATTCGATGTTAACAGTGAACTATCTGTAAGGTGATGTAATTGTGCACTGACTCATACCTAGCTGCCGATTTTTTGTCTAAATTATAGGTAGTGTTTCATTGACATTGTCCGTAGGTATACCGTACTCATTGTAATGACATTATGCCGCAGCATGGCTAATTCAACGAAACATTCACAGACAAACAAGATGACTAACCTTATCAAATAGAAACGAATGTTAAGATGTTTTTCCTCATAGGATTATTCAATTGTACGCAGTTCAAATAAAGTCAAATACCAATTTAGTATGGCCCTGAGGATTCGTTGAGACCTCCCGTAATAACAGATAATAGTCGATACGCTGTGCTGATAATAGATTAATAGCTCCTTGTTTACACTTAACCGTTTAAAGTCCATGTTGTATGTTACTATTTGTGTTGTATATCGTATAACATTTGCGAAACCTTGTCTGGAACTTATCCTTAATTTAGGTGGTACTTACGGCCATTTTTGTCGATCGACGTGGAGTAAACAACTTGACCAAGTTTGCGTTAGGTTGTTTGTGATCTTAAGCGCGATGTTGATTAACTGAGTATTGTTCTCAGAAGTGTTATTAGATTGGAATCTGTAAATCTAACCTATTTAAGTAAACCAGTTGATTCAAAAACAAATCATTCATTGTGCAGGAGTTTAAAAACTTACGCAATGCCTTCGAACAATTACAATAGATTCAAACCTTACATAATTATTATGGCATTTGTAATCCTAGTAGTTAGACGAGCCACTTTGGTAAACACCACCCACAATGAACTGGTTAGTTATAGCAACAAATGCAAATTATGTTTTTGTAGCCATTTGAACAATAAATCTTACGAAAGGATTGCGATACTGAGAATCAAATCCTTAGTGATATAATCAATCCAGTTCTTCTTAAGGAAGACTATAATAGATCTGATCTGCTGATGTCAGTGGGGACATTGCAGCGATTATGAGTGCAGTATGTAAATTAGATCAATATGTTCTTTATGAGTGTATCAAAAGAGGGATTAGTAGTAGCCCATCTTCTTGAAATACATCATAAACATCTTAATTCAGTCGAAGGATGCATTTATCCAGCTCAAGCGCGCATGCTGCCGTTGGACTTGGACCCTGCCCTGTCCTTCTGCTCCCATCTGGTCTACGGATATGCTGGCGTCCAGCCTGACACCTACAAGATGGTGTCCCTCAACGAGAACCTGGACGTAGACCGCTCCCACGCCAACTACCGAGCTATCACCAACTTCAAGACCAAATACCCTGGTCTGAAGGTCCTGCTGTCTGTTGGTGGTGACGTCGACACTGAAGAAGCCCAGAAATACAACCTCCTGGTGAGTGAGAAATTTAAAAGTAATATAGCATCTTAATACGCATATTTTTAAATTTTGATTTTTTTTTCTTTTTATTGTTGGTTCCGTCATGCACCAGTTATAAAAAAGGCAATTTAACTTTTATTCTTCTCATATCTATTTTATAAGATACATAATATAACATCACGCCTTTTATCCCTAAATAGGTAGGCAGAGGTCCACATTACGGCACTTTTAATGCCACTGTACAATATAACACCCACTTTTCACTATTTATGTTCTGAGTCCTATGTAATAGGGGGTGAGCCTATTGTCATATACCGGCCACAATACCAGACTTCGTGCTAGTACTGAGAATTTTAAAAAAATCGAACCAGAGGCATTTGCGACCACTCGGCCAACGAGGCAGTCCAATGATGTAGTAAAGTTATTTATAGCTACTCCCTGAGTACTGAAACCACAGAACTAATTCAAAGGATATAAGATAACTCACTGGCTGTGGGTGGGTACCCAATAAATGGACTGTAATTGAATACATTTCATGTCAACGTACATGCATGATTGGATTTTGTAGAAGGCACTGAAGCAGCTTGAGATTATGCAAATTAACTTGATAAATTAGATGACTTTGTATTCAGGAATGGGTTTGTAAGGGAATAGGTATAGAGGTTTGATTAATAAATACTTTACCTTCACAGTAGAACATGACATGTGTTCTTTATGACTTTCTAGAAATACTTAACGTTACTTAATGGAAATCTTGTTCTGTAGATATTACCCGACCAGCATTTATCTAAAATAATTATAACTGATGCTTAATACGTACAATACAATATAATTTGCTCATCGAGAACAGTTATTCACCTTTAGTTAATTCATTGTATCCTTAAACTATTAACACAGATAGCGTGGAGAAATAGTTTATAACATTATACTAACTTACACATGTCTTTCGCAGCTGGAGTCCCCACAGGCGCGCACAGCATTCGTGAACTCCGGAGTGCTGTTGGCTGAACAGCACGGTTTCGACGGCATCGACCTCGCCTGGCAGTTCCCCAAATACAAGCCCAAGAAGATCCGCTCCACCTGGGGTGAGTACCAACGTTTCTTTAACATTTTCAATCCTGGGATTCGCGAAAATGTTGAATCGTATAAAGCATTTTTATTCTATCAATTATTTAAATTTTCATAAGATATACTAGAGTAGATATTATATCGATTCACTGTTTTATATATTCTAAAAAATGCTCTAGTAACTGCAACATAATAATGTTATCAGGATCCATCTGGCACGGTATTAAGAAGACCTTCGGTACCACCCCTGTCGATGAGAAGGAGGCTGAGCACCGTGAAGGTTTCACCGCTCTGGTCCGTGAGCTGAAACAGGCCCTGAACGTCAAGCCTAACATGCAATTGGCTGTCACTGTCCTACCCAATGTCAATTCTTCCGGTAAGTACCTATGAGCATTTTTTATTAGATTAAATTGATTACTTTTATTTTCTTTAGTAAGAACCTAATGCTACTATGTGCAATCAGTTTTTGTCTAATTACTTAAAATACCATCATACTTTTACCAATATTAATGTTCTTCGAATTCATTAAGCTAATTGGTTCATTCGGCGTAATTGGACAAATCATGTACGATACGAAGTGTTTTGTAAGGGATTAAAAAGTCAAGTGATCTAATATTTTTGACAGAAAAATCCAATACACTTCATGGGGTTGCCACAGTATTTTCAAAGCCTATAATATCAAGCCACCTAAGAGGAATTTAATCAATCCGCCCTCACCTTGAGCTATAGGTAGGGCTTCATTAAATTCTTTGTTAATGATGAAATATTTCTTAACATTCTTCCTCATACATGTGTGTCTAAGAATTTATTGAACGTTGTCGGTTATATCGCTTACCACTTTTCTATGTTTTGTCCAGTTTCGTCAACCTATAGACTAAAATAATGACTACGGAATAGTACATAGAGGTACATAATAATATAATTCTCTGTACATGTTGGAGTTGTATGTAATTGTACATAATATACACCTACGGAAATGTCTTAAGTAGGTCAGTTTAAGGTCATATTACTAGTTGATACAGACGTATAAAATGTAACTTGATTACATGACTCTTATTAGAAATTGCTACGAGAAACTAATAAGGACTCGACTGCACGGTTGGTGCCGTGATTGGGCAACCGGCTGCCATGCAACTTGTCGCGGGTTCGATTCCCACACGGAACAACACTTTGTGTGATCCACAAATTGTTGTTTCGGGTCTGGGTGTGATGTGTATGTGAAATTGTATGTCTGTAAACGCACCTACGACACAGGAGAAAATCCTGTTGTGGGGCTACTTTTAAAAAAAATAGGAGAGGTAACATGATTTTCTGTTTCCTAACTCAATGTCTATTTTGCAGTCTACTTCGACATTCCCGCCATCATCAACTTGGTGGACATTGTGCACCTTAGTGCTTATGACTTCGAGACTCCCGAACGCAACCCTAAGGAGGCTGACTATGCTACTCCCATCTACACTCCCCAAAACCGCAACCCACTGTGGAATGCTGACGCCGTTGTCAACCACTGGTGAGTTTTATTACCCGAGTCCCTATTGCTAGTTTAATTTTATGTTTACGTTACAGCATTTAGCCCTCTGATTAGTTGGTTGACTTGAAGTAGCCAATCAGAGCGCCGAACGTCATAAACATGTTGAACGCGTTAACGTTACAGAAAATCGCACTAGGCATTCAGTATTAGTTATTGGTGAACCGTAGAAATTATGTTAGGCATAATAATTGTGATCTTATTGTTAGCCGTAGTAACACAGGTCATTCAAAATCCATGTTTAGGGACTTAAAAAATCATCCACAGATACATACCCACAAGACTGGCTGGCGGTATAGAAACGCTAATTTTATTTTCTGTAATGTTAGGGTACTGTCTAGTCAAAAGTGAAAACAGAGTATTTTATTGATTACAATTAACCATTACTACACAACGTAATATTTTGATTATTTCATGCATCCGCTTTTTTGTTCAACATACAAAAATCATTATTGCTCCATTTAATATATTATGACAGTTAAGCTAGCTTAGGTGTACATATAAGAATGTTTTCTAAACAGTGTCAACATGTGTTACTACATGGATACCATAAAATTGATGAGCGATTACATCCTGAAGCTGTTTGTAGGTTTGCTCAAGGTCATGATCGGTTATAGGGTCGTAAGGCACAATTTCACGTCGAAGGTCTCACATGAGCTAAAGGCCATGCGTAGAGTACACATAACCGGGAAACTTGTATGACCGGATCCATCAATATGATGGAAGGTACGCAGAGAAGTGCCAAGTAAAGGTAGCCATGAGCCAAGGTTTGAAGTTTTCGTAATGTCCTCGCATTTCAGGCTAACTTAGTGACACTGGCGCGGTTTTATCCGCTATGCTCAGCCCCTATTGATCGCAGCCAAACGGAACATCTAACACAAGAGTATTTATTCAATTCAAACTAGTAGTTCTGGAGCTTAGCGCGTAGAAATAAACTAACTCTTCAGCTTCATATAATGAAAAATAGTGTAGTATAAGAATTGGTTTTCCTCTTTCAACAGGCTCCAGGGTGGTGCTCCTGCCCACAAACTGGTGTTGGGTATCCCTACCGCTGCCCGTACCTGGAAACTGGACAGTGAAAGCGAGATCTCTGGAGTTCCTCCAATTCACGCTGACGGCGCTGGTGAAGCTGGTATGTGAGAGTATTTTGTTTTTATTGAACTTTTCCCGTTGGAATCTGTCGTGGATGTGGTTACTCTTAAGGAATGATAATTTTCAGATAGCATTGATAATTGTAGATCCCTAGTAGAAACTGATACAGAGTCAGTTATGTTGCATTTTCCATTGAGTACGGCCATATTCATTGTTCGTTGGTCATGTTGAGGTTTTCAATGATACTTACTAGTTTACCATTAAAAAAGTTATTACTAAATATCCAGTTTTTAAGACTTATCACTTTATAATTTAATAGCGCAATTACTGCTGCGTTGAGTTTTATTTTTATTTCAGCATCTTTCACTTTTTTACCTTTCACTTCACTCATTCTTAATTGAGATCCATTATGCATAATCATTGTAATAAAAACGTTACAATATGCAAACATATTCGTTTTGCAACCGAGTGAGTAAGTTACAAAAATGCTAACATAAGTTACCTATTACCTAAACGTAGATACATAAACAAGTTTATCATTATGTGAACCATTGTTGTCTTTCTACAAAACATGGACCAAGAATTTGTCATCAGATTGGGAAACAATTGCTTCCAAGTACTCCTAAATATTCAGTGAGATGATAAATATTCATATTGTCTAGATTTAGTCACTATGTCTTATTCATTGCATTCGTTTACAATGCCATTGCAATTTGGCACTTCCTTAGTGTTCATATAAATATGCATGTAGTTAGTAAGTCATTTCGACCTTGTTGGTTTGCTACTACTAAAAAATCTTGAGTTCGTTTCTCAGTTCGTACAAAGTAGTCTTTTTTATTTCAACAATAATGTGGAGTCCTGAAAGTTAACTATAAGGTCATTTTAGGTTTTACTTTTGATCTCCTAAAATTTTTTATAATTTTCTTTCTTTTAGGACCTTACACCAAAACCGAAGGAATCTTGAGTTACCCTGAAGTCTGCGCCAAATTGATCAACCCCAACCACCAGAAGGGCATGCGTCCTCACCTCAGGAAGGTCACTGACCCCAGCAAGCGCTTCGGTAAGTAATGAATTCTATTCATCTGCAAAACAAAATATAGGTAAACATTATTTTAGGTATTTTTGGTTTACAAAACGCAATTAAATAGTTTGAATATTTAATAGAAATCCGTATTACCTAATTATTGAACAATTACATATCGTAAAGTTTAAAATTTTGTTTTGTAATGCCAAAAGTAAAAAAAATATTCGTTCCAGCAAAGTGCATTGTGTAAAGGCATTATATTGTATGGAATGGGATACGAAAATATGGTGTCTGATGTCAAGTTGCATAACATTCCCAGGACGTAGATAAACATGCACTTTAGAAAATATATCTGTCATTTGTACTTTTGATATAACACAGTAGCTGATACTGTTTGGGCTTTGTGCATTTTTATAACTTTTTAGATAGTTATGTTAAAAATATCGTAGTTTTTGTTTCTTCGTTTCAGTTTACAAAACGATAGCTTTTAGGGTGGGTGTGTTTCTTAGCGCCGACTCTAAATTTTTGAATCGTTCTATGCTGTAAAAATGTAGCTTCATTGTGCCTTATTGTATTAATTAATTACTCAAATCTGTATTTGCCTTGAAGAATTAAATCTTTTGACCCTAGCTGCACCAGAAAATAATATTGTACTGCTATAAAAATATATATTTTGAGTAGGTGCCAAAAGATATAAATCTTCACCTATTATAGAGACAGCTTGCTTGTAAACGCGTTTAGTATTAGCTAGCAAATTTAACTTTTCAGAAAAAGAATTAACGAAAGACTTAACGAAGGACCGAGAGATAACCCCTCTTTTTGGTTGGTACTCATTCATAGTAGGCTTATAGCTTCTATAACAAACACCGTACTAAAAGCTGATTGGCAGTGATCGTTCAGATGTGATGTTAATAACAATCTTTTGCAAAATTTTACCTATACATGTATTTTATATATTTCGTCATAGCTACTTTTCATTGCAACATTAAAAAGATAAATAAATATGCATGTATAGATGTCAGTAGTAGTGTATTTGTTTAGTTATTTAACTTGTTGTATCGTATTGTTCTAGTTTAGTATACATAGTTTTATAATAGATATATTGAGGTAATAATTATTTACATTCATATTACGTAGTTAGTACTTTAGTACTAGTTGGTGGATAAGACAGGCTGTTACGACTTCTGCACTTTCTTTAATACAAATGTCGCATCTTTAAGTACCGGCTAAAGAATAAGGCAAGCATATCAAACTATCTCATACTGTCTAATCTTTTATTGGATATTCGACTTTACTAAACAAAGATTAAAAATTAAATTTAAATTCTAAATATAGTTTTATATGCTTCTTAAGGTAACATAAGTTCAATCACAACATTTTACGCTAATATATGGGTTTGTTAACACGTTGTATAGCATATTAATATTATTATGTAATTACAGGAACATATGCCTTCCGTCTTCCTGATGACAACGGTGACCCAGGTCTATGGGTGTCCTATGAAGACCCTGACACTGCTGGACAGAGGGCTGCTTACGTCAAGTAAGATATTTTTTAAATAATTGACGTAATTATTGATCTGAGTATGTCTTAAAACTGTGACCCATGGAAGGCACCATTTAACTTTATTGGGCCTTAATTTTTGGCCTCAAAGTGCATGTGAAACGAAGTTTTCTAGTAACCTCCTGAAAAGTGGCCTTCAGTAGATTGTCAGCATCTACTTAATGAAGTGCATAATTTAATGAAGTGTTTGCTGGACGTTTTTATTTTCTAGTTAAATATTTTTAAGTCGCTTTTTTAAAATATATCATATGTAGATTTGATTCCTGATTCGGATAGCGTTGTTGGATTTTATTATTTTCAGCAAATCATTTGAATATCTGGAATATTCTCGTTTGAGTACCTAGACCACCTCTTTCTTAGTTAGGTATTCTTAGCCATTGGGCACCTTCAACCTTATGGATAGGTAAATGTGTAATTATATAACTTACGTTCTCATAAAATATAAGTATGTTCCAACAGGAATACTCCGGATATTTAATCTAATATTCTGCATTTGCATTGATATATATAATGTTACCCACACATGTTTATACAAATAAATATATCTTTATCTTATCTTTATCTTTAATCATTAAGTAAAGTGACACGTGTATCTAAACAAGAAGATTAAAAGAAAAAGATCTTAATTAGTCAACATTTTTTTTCCAGGGCCAAGAACCTCGGTGGAGTTTCCATCGTTGACCTGTCCATGGATGACTTCCGCGGCCTCTGCACCGGGGACAAGTACCCCATCCTCAGGGCTGCCAAATACCGTCTTTAAATAACAATATCAATATTAGTTATTCTTTATATCAATACCTATTAGTTACTCAATGTAATCTGCTGTATAACGACTTTTTATATTTCGATAATGAAGACGACAGGGTATGTTAATTCTTTTATAGACTACTACTACTGTCAAGTTTAAAAACCGACTTCAAGTTCCTCTTCTTTTGAAGTCGGTTAATTAATATACCCAAACCTTTTTCTTTTCTTCTATTTATATCTTCTGTTTTATTTCGTCGCGGGATCTAATTCATGTCCCGTGGACGCGCTAGATACACATACGCCTGTATGTATCCAAACTATAAAACTACCTTTAAGCTGGTATTATCACGTCAAATGTTTTTAAAATCTCTATCGGATACTAAAATTGGACTGGTCATTCATACCATGATGACGACGTAATCAATGTAATATTTAAACCAGAGAATAATTTATAAATGTAACTTTTTTGTAATAAAACAACTCTTAATTGCTGTGTGAATATAGTGTTTTATTTTTACAAATTTTCCTCAATCTTTTGTTTTGTTAACAATAATAAGAAGTATATATAACATATAACATAATTTATATAACTACATAAATATTTACAACTTAAAATTAACTACAACTAAACTATTAAATAAAAAGAAAGTAAAAAAAAGAAAACAACAAAAATTATACCCTTAATTTAGGCGTCAAAGTATATATTATATGGTATATATTTTATAGCAGTATATATTATATTAAACTGTCTCAATGCTGCTTAAATTGAGATTTTGGAGCTTTTTTACATGTACAATGATTTTTCAAACATAGGTACATATATCTCATAAGTATCTACGTCCAAATATACTATATCGAAGTGTCTAAAGACAGTGTGACTCTTGATTTTCAAGTAAATTTACTTCCTATTATTTCCTCCTGTACAAAAATGCGCAGACTGCGCCCGCCTAGAAAGAAACAAATAAAAAATAACAACATTATTCTTCCGTAAATAATACTTTTTACGACTTCAGTACATTATCACTAAACTTGAAATTTCATTCGTTGAACCCCATTTAACTCGTGATATTGTGTGGAACTGCATATTTACGTAATATGTTTTCACTGCACAGGCAAAAACAATAATATGAATGTCATAGTATTCTTAGTGTTTACCTTGTTTCTATTTGATAGTGCTGAATCAGGATTATACAATGATAAAGTACCAAAGTACATCGAATCGCGTAAGTTCACACATTTTGGTGTACAAAGAGTCATAGAAATCTTAGTAACCTATTAATTTAGTCGTTTCATTAGCAAAATGATATAGTAGGTAGAAGATTTTTAGACACATGGAACCAGCATGGAACAACAGAGTTCTTTTTCTGCCAATCCCAATGAATAGAGAACATGAGTTTAAATATGAAAAAGAATTAACTGAAAAGATTAAACATGAACAATGCCCCGAATAAAGGCTGAAATGAATGGATTGAAATATAAAATAACGTCTGCTTTAACTCTTCAACTGAAAATGTGCGCTCCACAAATTCAGTGTGATATCGTAATACACTGATATGAAATACTACATTCATTCGAATATTTACTGATTAAAAATTGAGGAACTGTCAGTTTGTTCTTTACAACCAAAAAGAGATTGGTCGAATTCCTAAAAAAAGTATCCATTGCTTCTTGGATAACTAAGTTTCATTATCTATCAAGGAGGTTTAAAATAGATCCATACATTTTCAGGATTGCAATATCAAAATTTCCTATAATTTAGCAAAAGCACATCGGTGGTCTTCAGGCTACCTACAGACGCACTGAGTAGTAGCAACAATATGCAGTTACGAAAATAATCAACTTTGTTGGTTGCGGTCGTGTGAAATCAAATTAATTGCAAACATACCTCCAACTGCACGAGACGTGTTCTACATCTGTAGTCGTGTAATTATCAATGCTGTCCATGATTGGCGATGTGAAAAAGGTTCACTACATCAAGCCCCTGCTAGGGTATTCGAACTTTTGAAGCTTGATTGCATTGTCGCCCGTCATTGGCCGAGATTATTTTGACAACCAATCACATGACGGCAATCGAGTTCACTTCGGTGTCTCGAATTGAAAGTTACAGAATAGCCAATCAGGTCTAGGTATTTAGTGTCAACTATGCTAGTAGTTAGTTAGTTGAACTGCATGCAGTTGTATGTCGTCTGCACACAGGTGCTGCGATACACCCGAATTACCCTTGGCTTTTTTAAGGGGCAAAAATCATCGAATGTCTTCTCCCACCTAGGTGAGGCGGGAGGGAGTGTCAGACTCTTACTGACTAAAACCCACCCCGTTCCTTCTGCTGCAAAGTATTCGTTGACTGCTAACTCATTATTTATAGGTACTAATGAACAATAACAATGCTTAGTGAGAACTTTAAAATTATATTTTAATACTTGTTATTATTTATCTAAGTGACATTGACTTCCAGATGAGTTGAGCTCCATGGATTGGTATGTTCGTTGCAAACTTCAGCCAAATGGCTTCGATTGTAATCAGAATGAGACCAACCCTAGCAGGTTTGTTGCTAGCGTAAAGTGGTTTTGTTGTTACTTAAAAATGTAATGATTAACATAGAACGGGTTAAGTATGGGACAGTAATATTCTATTTATTAAAATTTTTACTACAATTATAATGACCTCTAATATAGAAAATGTCTATGTCGCATGTCTCTGAGGCTTGAAGTTAAGGTATACGATCGTCAAGAGCAATGTAAGGGTTCAAAACGTCTTTAGAAAACTCGTAGTTATAATTTTTAATTTTAAGTTTAAAACCGTCAATTCGCTTTGAGAAACCGTGATGATTAATGCTCATTTGTTTTCTATGTGAGAAGAGGGTTTTGCCTTGCAGTAGAACAATTAGATTCCGGCTGATAATAAATAAAGAAAAACATTCCAAAAATTAAACATTAACAATTTTATTTTAGATTTTACTACGATAACAATATGAAAGTTTGTCGAACCTTCGAGTACGGGGAATGTGAATTGAGTTTCAATACATTTCATTCACTGCTCGACTGTTCTGATGTTTGTTCTGGTAAATAAATAATATTATTTCATTAAACATAATTTATTAAAATCTGTAAATATACCTGATTGTATATAAGTCGTCTACTCAATTTGCAGTTTTGAAACCGTTAACAGAACTATATATACAACCATAAAAATACAGTTGATGTTTTATAAAACTTATGTTTTTACTTTTCATTTAGTACCTGGAGTTCAATTTATAGCTGAAGTATTACCAATGGATGTTGGTTGCCGATTACAACCTGATTTTGGAGCATGCAATGGCTACTTTCCATTGTAAGTTTGTAATGAAAATTTTATTGTGAAGTAACGAGTACCTAAGTAGTAAATATGGAGTAGGCAGATTAACTAACCACATTTTTCATACGTCCCGCTAAAGTATTTTGTGTTGTGTTATTGTCAGTGGCGTAACTATACCATTCGCAGCCTGTGGCAAATTCATCGATTGGGCCCCCAATAAAAAATAGAGAAGTTCAGATGAAAACCTCTGCATGGGCCCCGTTACAGCTGGGGGCCCGTGGCATTATGTCGATTTGCCACCCTGTAGTTACGCCTCTGTTTATTGTATTGTGTAATTAATAGATGATCTACCGTGCGATCCGCAATGATCAGCGATGATCTGCCAAGCGTGGTGATGTGATGTATACGGGCTGATGATGACGTCTTCCACAACAGGTGGTACTTTGATGTCTCGACTCGCAAATGTAAAGGATTCTCATACAGTGGATGCGGAGGGAACCAAAACAAGTTTACGTCAGCTCAAGTATGCTCAGCCATATGTCTAAAACATGTGGCATATCCTAAGAGAATACCAATAGAAAAAAAACTACCCAAGAAGAAAAGAGTATAGAATGAATTGTGCTCATTGTGAACTATTTATTGATTTTAAAGATTTAAATGTAATGTAATTCATGTTTTTATGAAAAACTGTGTCTAAAATATTTAGTATTATTTCGTGTTTTATTATAATAACTATTGACCAACTAGTATGTTGATATGATAATCTTAGAAAAGATAAACCTATAAAACTTTTTTTAACGTTAAGTAGAGGATAAAATTACAATTACTTTAAACAAAAAAGCTAAATAAATCCATATATATACAATATACATATTATTATATACCACTAAAATTAGGAAGCACTGCCTGCAAAAAAATAATCATCTACGTTCAAAGTTAAATTCGTCTTCTTTTAAATAATTGATATAATCACAGTTATAAATAAAAATAATAAAATGAAAATCGGTTCTCGAATGATAAAGTTTTCTACTGTTTTTGGACAAAATGGAGATAAAAAAATTACAACACTCATTAGTCATTATAGGCTCGACAGATACTTTCGAATTTAAGTAAGTGTATTTTATAATAAAAAATAATATCTTAAATGGAATATAAACCATTTATATATCGATTTATGGCCTAACATAACTTTTATGTTGCAATTGTTAAAGTTATACGCTATAAAAATATCGAGAAAAATTATTTTTTATTTACATTTTTGTATTAATTTCTTTAGTATTTACATGTCATCACTAAATAAATATGTTTCTGGGTTGCATAATTCACTCACTTCTTACTGTGATTTCATTTACTGCGATACAATTAAGGGCTAACGAAACTACTACGGATTTGGACGAAAAATATACTGCAGATACTACAGCTAAACTCACTACTAAAGCTACGGAACTCACTACTGAAGCTACGGAACTGAATACTGAAGCTAACGAACTTACAACTGAAGATATGGAACTTACTACTGAAGCTACAGAACCTGTTACTGATCCTCCTGAAAAAGTTAATGAAGAGACCACACAAACAAAACCACCGAGTCGTGCACAAATGGGTTCGTCTTTAGCTAATTTATTTTCACAAAAATAGTATTTCCATTCTACTTTAGTTTGTTGTTTGTGCCTTTACAATACTAGAATTGTAGTGTTCTTTCTAGTGATTGTAAGACCCCTTCTAAATCCAGAAGTTATATTTAATACTTCTTAAGCTTAAGCTCTAGACGCGAATACGTTCTAAAATTGCGAACAGCTACCAAGAATCGAGTCCTCAATATATTCCATGATTTTACTGTCAAAACAAGGGGGTTATGCCAAAGTCTCTCATAAGATCGATAAACCTTTGTTTCGAGTTTGCTGATGATTATCACTACGGTCACGCCTTGAAAGGAGAATGGCAGGTTTGTATGGAAGTTTTGTACCGCTATAAAATTTTGTATTAGTCATTGTTTTAACCAAGTGAATAGTCTGAACGATAGATATTTTTATTATGAAGTTTAGAAAAAAATTACATATTTTTAGAACTTGGGGTTCAAAAGTTATTTCACTTTGAAAATGTGCAAAAGGTATGTTAAGGTGGTACCACACTTGACATTGCGTAGTCGCTTCATTTGTCCAAATATTTGTAGACTTCGTACAAATGGCGTCCAAATAGTATCTCTATATGTAATGGCGTGCAAATATATAGCAAACAAAGAAGAATAAATCCTCCAAACATGTTCTTTTTTGGCCGAACACAACAAATACGCAACGTCAAGTGTAGAGCCACCGTAAGCAAAATATCTATTACAAATGACAGATGACAGTTAACTGAAAAATGTCAATGTGCTCTCATGTGGTTGTTTATTTACAAAAAACAAAAATCTAAAAATACTGCTCGCTACTCAAGTGACTATTACACTTTGTATTATTAGAAAGAAAGAAAGAAAGAAAAACCATTTATTTTGCTACGACACACAACAAGAATTTAGAAACCCAAAAAATAACCTATGGTGCGTCGCAGCGCAAAAGGCAATTAGGAATGATCCTGTTAATTCAGCAAGCATGATGCACCTATAGAGTTTTAAAGAGTATGCCTCACAATCTTTTTCATTTCTTAGGTGCCTACGAAAATGCAAATTCATAATGTAAGCGACTGTCATTGGGTAGAAGGCCTACATTTAGCAGTGGAAGTCTTGTGGCGGATATGATAAAACTAATGTCTCACTTCACCTTGAATCTTGCAGGTAGATAGTCTCAAGGGTCTCAAGTTAATTCGATTTAAACTTAGCTTAGCTCTTTGAGAAAGTATTTCTTCTGAAAACTGGTTGCTTAGCACGCATGTAAGGATTAATTTCTAATAAGTAAGTCAAATTAGTAGAATCATCAACATTTTCATCATTAAGTCTATAAGTGGCCACTGCTGACCGAAGCCTCTTCTCGCATGGAGGTTTGAGCATTAATCACCATACTAGCTCAATGTGGGTTGGTAATTCAAACTTATAATAAGAAATTATAAGCCCATGTTTCCTCACAATGTTTTCCTTCACCATTCGTCAGCGGTGTCTTTGTACAGTCAGCATCAAAAGTTGATGACTACATTTAAATTTTCAAAATCACTGTACAACGTATTATACCTAAATTGCTCAACATGACATGCGCCAGAAATGAATGATTATCATAAAAGGGCATAAGTAGGTGACCATTACTTTTCAAAAGTCGCTAAACAAAGTTATAGTAAAAAAAGCAAAACATTCTTCGTCTCTAAGGTTTCTGAACAAATTTTAGACAAAAATAGCATACCATCATTTATCTCTAAAGTCCCTGAACAAAATGCCATTTCATTTTGTTCAGGGATAAACGATTTTGGGTTTAATATGTGTGTGTATTTTTTTCGGCAGGTGTTTGGTATATAAATTAAGTAGACACATACACATGTAAATCACCACTCTTATTTATTATCAACAAAAATTAATTAACAAAAATATAATTCGATAAATCAATACAGATAATTATTATTTGTTTTAATAACAAATCAACACAATCATAATAAAATAATTTAAACTTTAATAATCAAATCAATGTTTAATAAACAAAAACAAGGTATGATTTTTATCAATTACAATTATGGTTAAACTTGGACTACTTATAATTAAAACCTAGTGTGTCCCCCATTGGCATCGATGACATTTTGGAGACGTTCTCGCATGGAGTTAACCATATTTGTACAAGTATCTCGTCCCCTAAAATCTTCCCAGATTTCTATGGCGTGATTTAGTAAATTTGCCCTTGTTCGAGGAATGCTTTCATCCCAAGCCTGGACCATAAGCCCCCATAAGTTTTCGATGGGGTTAAGGTGTGGGCTCTTTGGTGGGAATGGAATTTCGACAATGTGATCAGCGTTATCCCGGAACCAAGCTCTGCACACTCGGGCCATGTGGATTGAACAGTTGTCGTGTATGAAATGTAATGGGGCCATATCAGGTAACACTATTTGTGCTGTGGGCAGTAAAACATCTTGCAAGATGTCTTTGTAGCCTTCGGCATTTAGCCGACCACCAATTTCTATCAGTTCCCCTGGTCCACTTTTACTCATCCACCCCCAAAGACCCACAGAAATCCTTCCACTGGATCTATTTTCTATTAAGTGCTCCTCTTGATAACGGGTATTATTAATTCTCCATAACGTAATTCGACCGTGTTGAGAAGATTTGAAGGTCTTTTCATCAGCAAATATTACATTGGAAAAATCAAAATTTAAATATCGTTCTGCAAACTGAAGTCTTTGCAACTTATGTCGAGCAGTCAATTTTAACTTACGGGCCGGTTTTCGGCAATGTATACCAGCTTCGTGGAGACGTCGACGAACGGTGGTTAAAGAAATATTGTTAGCTATAGCTACATTTCTGGTTTGAATGAACGGAGTCTCTCTGAATTGACGAATGATATTTACGTCCTGTTCTTGAAGTTCTTCTTGGTCTACCGGTCTTCTTGATTTCATCGACGTTTCCTTCATTATCCCATCGCCTTATCCACAAGTACACGGTATTACGCTACAAAAAAAATATGCATTAGAACCTAACACGTTATTGATCGGAAGTGACTTATACTATGCGTCCGATTTTGATTCTACCCTGTTAGATTCCCACTTAGGACAAACATTCGTGTGACGAATACGTGTGTATAAGTCTTGGTATTAATCCTTTCTTAATAATATTATAAATGTCAAAGCTAATGTTTGTTATTCATCACGATAAAACTACTGAATACATTTGAATGAAATTTGGAACAAAACAATTTGGTTGTAGGTATGTCATAATCTCATAATATTCACAGTATCTTAAAAACATCTACTCATTTACATCCTGTATAATCTCAAAATACATAAAAATAAAATAACTTACAGCAACTCCCATTTCTCTAGCTATTTCGGCAACAGAAAGTCCTTCTTCCCGCAATATCACTATTCTGTGACGTTCATGTGCAGTAATATGAAGATTAAAATATGGCATTATAATATTTATGTGTTACTAAAACGCAATTGATAACTAATAAAAAATTTATAGATAAAAAGTAATTGCAACCACAATGCAACATCCGATCCAAGTGATAATTAAGTAGAAATATTCTATTTACATTCAAGGGTAAACAATTTTTCAAATACCCACAACTATGTTTACCAAAGAATTGAATTAAAACAGAATTTGTGGTAATTTTGAAAATGAGTCTTATAAGTATACAGGTTAAGTTCTAATTCAATCGTAACTATAAAAATCACAAACAAAGTTGACGGTATGAATTTAAACAGAATCTGCTTGATTTTTTAAAATGAGTCTTAATGCTTTACGAATAAGGTTACAATTCAATCGAACTTAAACAATAATTAATTACGCGATAGTATAAATTCAAACAGAATCTGCGGGATTTTTTATAGCCAAATATGGTTACTATTCAATCCTAATACAGCAACATCGTCAACGTTTTTAGTTTGCAGTTCAGCTACTTTTGATAGTATAAATTTACACGCTACAAATCCGAAACAAAGTAATGTTCAGTAACTTTTGTTGTTAATGATGTTAAGTTATTTTTGGACGTTGCTGTGATTGCACTAAATAACCAAAACAAGCATTTTATATTGTTCAGTGACTTTTGTAAAAATTAATGATATGATGTTTTCGGATATTATAACGATCAGCAATTTTTGACAAAATGGTGTTCAGTGACCTTTGACGAGTAGTGTTCAGTTAATTTTGAACTTTAAAGATGTTCATTCAATAATGGCACCCTCTCTTGTTAAGCGATTTATGGGTGATATAATGTACAGTGATTTTGAAAATTTGAATGTGGTCATCGACTATTGATGCTGACTGTACTTTCTTAGATTATTAAATATACCAATAACTCGGAAAAAAGACACATTGGACAAAAGGTACTTTGCCGTTGGTAGGTTTCGAACCCGCACTCTCATGCATGAGAAGCGGGCTTCTTAAACCTCTGGGCCACCACATTACAACTAAAGAAAATGTAAAATGAAAATGAACATTTTTGGTATAAAACTAAAGCTATCTAAATTAAATATGGCATTTATTTTATAGATTGATTCTTAAAATCACTTTTATCAAGATGGAATATATAGTTACTTACTAGGTTAAAATAAAACAAATGTATTATTTTGAAATACTTTTATTTCATTGTATTCAGGTTGTTTCTAGGAGTACTTCATCTAAAAAGAGAACAGGCCGTGTCATAGGTACAGCAGACATCAATTGCTGATATCTGTAAACAAGTAAGATAACTGTAAATAAAGTAAACAAAAGTACATTTTTTTCCTTTAGTTTTATATGTTATAATAATAAGTCTGATTCCCTATCTTAAAATGGAAAAGATAAAAATAAATATTTGATTACATTACTTCATTTTATAACATTTATTATAGTTATTCGTATAACACAGATCATAGGAGCTCAAACAGCATGCTAATTAATAAATTATAATTATAACATGAGTATAAACCTATTAGAAACCGCTTATATACTCCACATAGATACATAATTATGTAGGTACATTATATTGAGAATGCATACCTGTTGAAGCTTTGAGAGCCGAACAACATCATCCGGCCTCATCTGTTCTACAAATGGCAATGTTAAAGTGAGGCTTAGTCCATGTTTACATAATACATTACTTCCTGATAGTGAACACTGTGAGGTGGTATGTCAGGTTGTGGTTTTATAGTTTCCACTCTTGTACGGTCTCTCAGTCAGTATGGAACATGATCTTCATCATGGGAAGTAAGCTAAACTAAGTAATATTATTAGAATATGATATTGACTTTAGATTACACTGTATATAGATAATAGTATGGTTAAATTATGCTTTATTACCTCTTGTGGCTGAATCCAATCAATTACTATATGAGCCAGTCTTTACTCCTGTTTGTTGGCGCCTTCAATTAAAACCCTGCGTCACCTTATCATTGCAATGAATCACCCATATACGACACAAACATGCCAGTGACCAATTTGTTTGCTGGACATACTTTCAGCAACATCCTGATACATTGCTAATTGCCAGCAAGCATTGCAAATATGGTCGGTAGGAGAGATCTAGAATAAAAAGAATAAAATGATACATTATGGGTAGATAACACTATGCGCCTTCTTTTATTCAGGCAACATGGTGACTTTCGATATGTTATGGGTAAACTAGGTACTTACATCTCTAGGATAAGTCCACATTGGGATATTGTTGACCACGTCTAATCTTCACTCTCATTTTCTAGAGCATGCCGTCTCATGTGCGACAAACTCTGAATGCAATTAATACACTGTAAATTCATCATCGCGACAAATAACAACACACTGCACAAAACAATGTAAATAAGTGTCTTTTCGCAATTGTCACAACAATGATTCCAATAATACCAATTTGGGCTACGGAGGAACGGTTGCCAAACTCAACGTATCACCAGATGAATAAAATAACTTCAAATTCAACAAACACATCATAACATCGCATTTGAAACAAACAGCAATGCGCCAGTACTGACAAATTAATTGTCAATGTCATCAAGACAAATGCCAGTTCAACATTGCCATAATATTCAAGTTTGTTAAAATGTTAATTATCATTAATAATCCATGTAAACGTAGATTTAGATTGGATGTAGATTTTTATATTTACTTATAAAAATGTTTGAAATGGAAAGGAAAATATTTCATTGATAGATATTAAAATAAATGAGTTTATGAAATAGCGAAATTCAATATGCTCTGATTTCATCTTTACGCATGGCAACTTTGTAAACGTCAATCGCGGTTCGTTTTACGTATAGTGGATTGCTTTTTATCATTATTGAATATCAGTTTTTCTAGGGTTTCCCAAGTTTTAAAAATCTATTAAATATGCTAACATAACGTAGGTACTTAGGAGGTTCTATAATGACCCAATTTTTTAATGACAAATCTTTTTTTAGCGAAGCGGTACAAAATCTGCCGTTCTCCTTTCTATGGGATTAAGGGGTAAATGAGTAGGTTGATCACCTGATACAAGTGCGCAATGTGCTATTGGTTCTCCAAAAACATCACCAACATGTCAAAAAATATTACAAGCGTTGTTTACGCCGGTTGTCTGTGAGCTCATGGTAGGTACCAGGTCCGGTCGAGCCGGCCCATTCGTGCCGCAAAATGATTCTTCCACTAGTCCAATTATATTGCTAGGCCTATGTTCTTTAGAATCAAACGCATTGCTGTTTTTAATATTCTGTCATCTGGTAAACGTTAGTGTACTTGTTGGGTGACTAATAGAAAAATTCTCAGTTACTCAGTTCTCAATGAGAAGTGGGAACGAGATTTGGGATTCGTTCAAGAACTGTTTTTGTTAGGGTTTTAATTTTGAATTTTTCTAGCAGAGCAATAAAAACATACCAAGGTTAAAACTTTATGGAAGATGGCCAATTACAATTTGCATTAATTTCAGTTTTTCTCTCCAGATGATTTAACATCATTTGATGACAAAGTCTATTGTAAGTTTCAAGCAAATTCATATTCGTGTTCAAATGCCAGGCTAAAACGCAAGTATGTACAAAAAATAGGTATTTATTATAGCTTTTGAGGGTTTTAATAATTTTTACTCAAATTAAAAAGGGCAGTAATTTACTGTGTACTGACTGCATTTTAATAATGTTGTGTTTCTCTGAATTACAACTACCTAGTACCAAACAATATTATATATCTGTACGCAGATCCCGTGCTTCTGTGGTTTTAAAAATCGACAATTAGGTGCCAAAACATAATATTATATGTAATAGGTATCTATTTTGTGTTTTGATACAGATCAAATAAGTCATCAACGACGTATACAAAATGAATGAAAAATTAAAACAAAATAAATATACCTATTGGGTCTACCTCTATCATATTTATTTTTGCATTCAAAGTAAACGTTGTTCCGTCTGGCACTGGCCTATCTTAGAATACCCTTGTAGCTTGCTATTTCGCTCGACTCGCTAGTTATTCATGGAGATTTTTATTGGTCAGTGGGCCTGTCCTAGCATTTCGGTATTATACTACTAATGTTCGTCTCCCCTAATTTCAGGTATTATTACGATATACAGCTGAACCAATGTATTCGGTTCGATTACGGACATTGTAAGCACTCGTACAATATGTTCGATGGAAGACGCGAGTGCTTTGACGCATGTGAAGGTATAATATTTTGTTCAACATTTTTTGTTTGTGAGAAAATCGTACAAAAAAATTTAAGCTTGATGATTTCTAAATAATTTATCTGATACCTAAGTAAAATGATCATCTATTGGTAAGTAGTGTAATTTAAATTGTGTTATTATCCATGATACTGATTTGGTAATGGCTTGAATTTAATTCACCTTTTTCAAAATCCGAGATAAAAACCTATTTGCATAAGGAATAATGAAAAGATTAAATACAGAATCTACGTACCCCAAGGGCGAAGAAGACAGAGCTTAGTTATCAAGTACATTGTAAGAAGTAAATGGAAACTTCTATTACATAGTTTGTCACAACTCAAAACATGTATTGAACAATAATAACCGATGAAACATATTTCTGTTGCAGACGAGTACAGTCATCAAGTTATAAATGTAACAGCCAATGTTTACTGCAGGTTTCAGCCTGACTTTGGAGATTGCCATATGTATAATCCGATGTAAGTAATGTTTCCTGTAGTTGTAAAGACGTTTCATATGATATTCGCGACATTATTAGCAAAAGTCTTCTTGTAATTATTTAATAGCTAGCTATCTATAATTATATCTCAACGTAAATTTAAACGACTGAATTTCTAGTGAGTTATACCTCTGAGTTTGTTTCGGCATTTCTTCTCAGAGTAGTCAGTTAGGAAATGTCGACCTCATCGTTCGCTTGATAAAATTGACGTGTAAAAGTGCTGCCTTGTAGCCTATTTGCAGAAATAAATTCACTTGTTTCACTTGTTTCACTAGTGCAGTAAATATTCATTCCATTAAAATTGAAGAAAATATGGAAGATACTGCTTCTAACTTTTTAAGAAGTCTCATAAAAATATTGTTTTCAGGTGGTATTTCGACATCATCGATATGAGGTGTAAGGGTTTTTCATACAGTGGCTGTGGAGGCAATGACAACAGGTTCCGGAATGTTGAGAAATGTTTGTCTGTGTGTAGCCATGCGGTGAAACATACGGAAGAAGAATAAAATCTAAAGAAATTAAATTATTTTTATTAAAAGAACACTCGGGCCGTGATCTGTTTTCGATATCAAAGCCTAAAATATAGTTTTATCAATTTTCTGCCGTGTACATATCGTGCCATCTCTGTCATTTTACAAAGAATTTGTAGTGACAGAACTGTACTTAAGCGCGACTTAAAATTGAGTAATTTTTCAGTATTCTGTATTCAGCATATGTGTATGTCTGGGTTAAACTCAAAAAGTACTTAACGGATTTATTTCAAATTCTGCATGGATATTACTAATACATAGGTCAGATCAACATATAGGCTACATATTATCACGCTATCACCTACAATAAGAGAAGACCTATAATTTTTTTCTATTCCACGCGGGCGAAGTGGCGGGTACAGCTAGTTTTGATTAAACATATTATTTTAATGTTTACATTATTATTTAATACTCGCAATTTAAGTAAATACTTTCCGAATGTGGGGTTTTTGGTGGATTCTAGTTATTTAAAGAACAATTGATATCAGATTTAAAACAACCTTTAAGTATAAAGTTTTAGCTTTACTTTAAAAGCTTTTTAAAAATTACACACTATTGTATGTAATTCAAGTAAGAGGCTTACCTATACAAGTATACAATTGAAAGTAATTCTTACCAAAGTAAAACTTAGTATTGTTAGAAACTGGAGGACCTTTTTGGATATCCCTAATTCCTTAATAACATAAGGTCGTTTTTTAATGGCATAAGCCGGTAAACGAGCAGACGAATCACCTGATGGTAAGCAATCGGCGTCGCCCATGGACACCTGGAACACCAGAGTCGATACAAGTGCGTTACCGGCTTCCTGGGAATTAAGAGCTTGAGGATCGTTGGGGATTCAGGGATTGGGGAGATTAGGGAAGGCGAGGGTAATTGGGCCTCCGGTAACTTCACTCACACGACGAAACACAACGCAAGCGTTGCTTCACGTCGGTTTTCTGTGAGGCCGTGGTATCACTCCGGTCGAGCCGGCCCATTCGTGCCGAAGCATGGCACTCCCACACTTAGAGGTCCTAATTTATACCTGGTTTCCCTTAGTCCTACCTAAGGTGGCCTTTTGCTAATTCGATCCATGTGAAATAGTATTATCAGTCGAGGTACAGACTGCGTGTTATTTTTAGGCCTACCAAATAAACCTGGGTATCGAATATAATCAAAATCGATTGTATAGAGAATATATTAATCAAATTGTCCTATAACCACATCACCTAATTATAATAGGTCGGTCCTGTTAAATTCATCGATGCATTCTGCACGCCTACCCAATTTCACGCTACTGTCGCCATTTATAAAGGCATACATGTACATCATAGAACATAACAAGCATAGATGTATAATTAATCTAATTAATGATCTATAATATAATTATCTCGATTTTATATAATTCGTATTGAATTTGAATAACGTTCAGGATAATAGATAGGTTCGCATTCATCATTCTCATATAGGTACATCGTTTGAGTAGTACCTAACACGAAACAGTAACACAAAAATAAAATAACCATGTTTTAATAATAGATTATGAATAATAATTAAGTATTAATAGAAATAGAGACTGCCTCGTTGGCCGAGTGCTCGTAAGTGCGACTGCCGGGCAAGGGGTCTCGGGTTCGATTCCCGGGTCGGGCAAAGTTTTAAAAGAAGAAAGAAGTTTTAAAATATTCTCAGTAGTAGCACGGAGTCTGAAATTGTGCCCGGTATATGGCAATAGGCTCACCCCCTACTATATGGGACTCATAACATGAATAGTGAAAAGTGGGTATTACATTGTACAGTGATATAATGTACACCTCTGCTTACCCCTTCGGGGATAAAAGGCGTGGTGTTATGTTATGTAATAGAAATTTATATAGAATTTGTCTAAATATATACGTGTGACGTTGTAGCTGTGAAATAATCTATAAAACACTAGGTGACCTGGGAAACTTGCTACCGCCAATTTTCTTTTCTCACCTTCCACGAACATTTCCAGACCAGAATTAGCAAAATCGTTGACTTACGAATGGAAATTCATTTTTATTTTTATATAGATAGATTAAAGTTGGATAATACTAACAGAACTTGCGATCGTAGCAATATGTACCTCCTAACACTTTTTCATTTAGTCCCGTGACTGACCTCGAGATCCAAAGAGCTTTTGCATCAATCAAATCCAGGGCGGTGGGCCCTGATGGGATGGGTCGAACCATGGTGTCCTTAATATTCGAGCACTTCCTTTCCCACTTCACTCACTTAATTAATTTTTCTATTTTTTACGGTGTATTCCCGTCATCGTGGCAAAAAGCATATATAATTCCACTCCCAAAAACCTCCAATCCTTGTCAGCCCAACCATTACAGACCCATTTCTATCCTTCCTTACCTGTCCAAGATCCTCGAAGCAGTTGTTCATAAACAAACGTCCTCTTACATATTCAAACATAACCTGCTGTCTCCCTTCCAATCAGGTTTTCGGCCCGGCCACAGCACATCCACTGCCCTGCTGAAGGTCACAGAGGATGTAAGACATGGCATGGAGGGTTCGAGGTTAACTGTGTTGGTTTTAATCGATTTCTCCAACGCTTTTAACACGGTTGACTACGATATTCTCTTGGCCATGCTAACTCAGATTGGGTTCTCGACGTCATCGCGGGATTGGTTCTCTACTTATCTTCGTGGTCGCCAGCAGGCGGTACGCGTTGGTCAGGAATTCTCCGACTGGGGCGGGCTAACAGCTGGTGTACCACAAGGCGGTATACTCTCTCCTTTGTTATTTTCTCTATTTATAAACTCTATTACTAGTCTCCTCAAATGCTCTTATCACCTTTACGCCGATGATCTACAACTATACGCTCAGGCTGATATCGCTAACTTGAACACTTGCATAGCATATCTCAACACTGACTTGCTTGCGATTGAAGACTGGTCAAGGAGGTATGGGATTGCAGTGAATGTAGGCAAATGTCAGGCCCTCATCTTAGGTAGCTCCTATTACTTGAATAGCCTAAATGTCAATCAGCTTGATCCGATAACATTTAATCAAACCACCATACCATTGTCTCCTCACGTAAAGGATCTAGGCTTGTATCTGGACAGCGGGCTCAACTGGAATTATCAGGTTGCTCAGATTGGCCGGAAAGTAACTGCCACGCTACGATCTCTCTACAGGTTCAAGAACTTTCTGCCACCAAATATCAAGATTCTGCTTGTCCGGTCCCTTGTGCTTCCTGTTGTTGATTATGCTGATGTTTGTTACTCCGATCTATCCCAAGACCTTCTTAACAAATTGGATCGAATGCTCAATAACTGTATCCGTTTTATCTTCGGTCTTCGTAAATTCGACCATATCTCTTCCTTTCGCGCTCAGCTTAAATGGCTTCCTGTCCGTGAGAGGAGATCCCTCAGATCCCTCTGCACGCTCTTCTCTATTCTTAATGATCCTTGTGCTCCAGATTACTTAAAATCTTGCTTCCAGCTATTAGGCAGTTGCCACAACCGTAACCTCCGCTCGACTGATAACTTGCTCCTTGAAATACCTTCCCACCGGACCTCTTTTATTTCTAATTCCTTTACAATAAGTGTCATTAAACTTTGGAACGCGCTCCCCCTCAATATCAAAAAAGCTCCTAATAAAATCTCCTTTAAACACCAAGTTCATGAATTTTACTTAAAATCGCTGCAACGCTAGGTCTAGGTCTTCGTCGATATATATTTATTTATGTATTTATACCTATATATTTTATGCATATGACTATATATACTATTTACTATTATGTAATATATATGTATAGCTATATTATTGAATAATTACCTTTTTATTTATTTTTTCCTCTCTCTCTCTTTGCTGTTAGTTTATTCTCCGTACCTTATTTTTCGCAGATTTTCTATTTAAACCCTAAGGTTGACTGGTAGAGAATGCCATATGGCATTAAGTCCGCCTTATGTGCCATATTAAAATTGTGTACATTAAAGATTAAATAAATAAATAAAAATAAATAAAAATATGTGTTGTAGGCCTTCTTCACGTAACTAATGTCTACGCATGAAACGAGTTTTGGGGATCCAACATAGGTTCATTATGAATTTAATATACAACAGGTATGTTTGTAGATATCTTAGGAAGATGTACTACAAAACTTTCGATACAATACTATATCGTTAGGGAACCTCCCAAAAAGAGAGGAAGACCCCAATCTTTAGCTTCCGGACCAGTCTTTGATTAGTGTCACTGTAATCACTAGATGTTTTTTTATTCTCAGACGTTAGGTTGACAATAATAGTTTTTGGTGAAAAAGGAAAGTCAGTTATAAGTTCTCATAACAATATTCCAAATACGTCATTAATATAATTCCAATTATGACAAAATAGAGTAATATTATCCGTATCATGTAAAGATAAGCTATAGGTACCACACTAAGATAGAACAGATTTAATCTTTTTATAAATTCTAATAGATTTCTGCGGTAAACGAGCAGAGGTCATGTAATAGTAAGCGATCAGCACCGCTCATGGACATCCATAACATTAGAGGATTTATAAATAGGTAGCTACTTTGTTGGAATATTTAGCATTTTCTGTAAGGCCATGGTGTTACTTCAGTCGAGCAGTACACTCCCACATGAAAAAAAAACTGAAAAATACGAGTACCATGAATATTTTGCTCAACTTGGTACGTATTTTTTTTCTTTTTTTAAAAAAACGTTGCCCCACACTAGGATTTTCTTGTATCGTGGGTGTGTTTACAAACATACAAGTTTACATACACATGACACCCAGACCCGGATCAACAATTTGTGGATCACACAAAGTGTTGTTCCGTGCGGGAACCGAACCCGCGACACGTTGCACAGCGGCCGGTTGCCCAGCCACCGCACCAACCGTACAGTCAATATTTGAAGTACCTACACAGATTTTTATCCATGAGATTGATATAATATGCACCATGTTTTGAGGTTAAAACCTTATTTCTGTAATCAATTCCGAACTGCAGAATCGCAG